TACATTTCAAAAGCTGCCACCACCAACTCCCGTTCCTCCCCCCAAGCTCTGGCACCGCAGATCGTGAGCAGCCTGCCACGAACCTTCAACCGAGAGATCCGCCTTTCCTAAAATGTCACCCTCCTGGGCCAATGTCCCAGGAGCTGGCCCTAAACGTGCGGAATTCAGTGACCCACACACATGGGCTTTTCGCACCAGACAGTCCCCCTTCTACTTAACATCGTCAAGGAAGAGACACACTTTGTTTTAAACCTGCTACTTTCAATAGCTTTAATAGCTTGAATAGGTAGCAGGTTTTAAACAAACAAAAGTAAGTTTTTCTTTATGCAGCACACAGTCAACCTGTGGAACTCCTTGCCAGAGGATGTTGTGAAGACCAGGATTTTTACAGGATTCAAAAAAGAACTAGATTAATTACTGGAGGCTTGGTCCGTCCATGGCTATTGGCCAGGATGGGTAGGAATGGTGTCCCTAGCCTCTCTTTGTCAGACTCTGGAAATGGGTGAGAGATCACTTGATTACCTGTTCTGTTCAATCCCTCCAGAGCACCTGTCATTGGCCACTGTTGGAAGGCAGGATACTGGGATAAATGGACCTTTAGTCTGACCCACTATGGCCATATGTTCTTATGTTCACTTAAGACAATTGTAGTCCTAGGCGCTGTGGCGGATTAAATGCCTGGAGCTTACATCTTGTATTCCGGGGCTTTTTGGTTGGGGAAAGGGTATGGTGCGGGTGAGGAGCCCAACTAGCAGCCGTGTCTATCAGTAATTCCTGCTAATAAAATACTTTTTCACTATCCGCGCTATAATTGGTTTACAGCCTTTTTTGTTTATTTATCCATAAGAGCTGCTGTTAAATGGCTTGGGAAAGCAATTGCTTAATGGCTCAATATTGAATCAAATGCTCCGTGTGCTTTTTAAGCGGGGCGGAGGAGGGAGCGAATGGATTCATAGCGGAAACTCGTTTTAAATGTAATGGACTTGGAGGTTTTATGATCCCCGGGAACCCTGTGTCGGAGCAATAGACCAAGAGCTTTTCTGCTCAGCGGCATTTGTTTCCGTTGTCTGCCACGCACAGAACATCTGATCCCCCCCTCTACACTCACACACCCATGCGCGCTCTCTGTGGGGCCAAAAAGCAGGTCCACGGATACAGGCTGTATCTGTCAGCATCCCAGTGCCCTCAGTGTGCCCCCTTCGGCCTGCGCCCGCCCGGAGATAAGGCAGGTAGCATGTCGCCGCCTTGGCACCCGGCCCCTTTATTTGGTGGTAAAACCAAACCACCCGAGGGGAGTCCAGGCAAAGTTTGCGCGGAGACCGCTTTGCAGAAGCGCCCCCCGAGGCGAGACGCGCAAAGCAAGTCTGAAGCGTGTGTGGGTCCGTATGTTTGTCTCTGTGTGTGCGTGTGTGTGAGAGAGAGAGCGAGCACACGGGCAGGTAGGGAAATGATCTTTGTCCTCTTCGGTAGCTCTCCGCCTCCTCATAGCCTCGTCACCAAGTCAACCAGCACCAACTTAGAGAGCATTATCTCCAAGGGTCAACAAGTCTCTGCCAAGTTGCAGAGAAGTCGCCCAAACTCCCCTTTCGGGAATCAATGCGTTCGCTATCGGTCACTCTCCTGATAGCATTGCGCTCTTCCACGGCCAACTAGTCTTTATTCTCTCCAGCACAGGGAAAGGTCGCAAAGAAGGCAAACCTTTGCTTCTTTTCACAGTCTCCGCCAGAAGATTGCTGCACAGATGGTCTTTTTCCCTAAGGAACTCACACGCGCGCGCCTATTTCTCTCTTTCCACAGCTGTATGCCCACATCTCGCACCTCTGGATACTAACACATCTGCAGAGGTGTACGCAAACACATCGGCGCAATTTGAAGAGCATCGTGTCCTAAAAAAAGACGTTAGGTTCCCCCGGTGCAAAGAAATTGCGACATATTAACAACACAACCCACAAGAATAAGGAGTGAACATGAAAGGGACACAGAATGTCCACCCAACTTTCCGAGCAAATCTGTCTACCCAGTGGGCACATTTTCTTCAGTCGTTGGGGAAGAGGGCTGTGGGTGATGCTGTGTCGGTGATGTTATGGGAATCAAATTGCGATCGAGAGTAGCTCGCTGCATGGGTGTGTATTGGACACCTGCGTGGGTGGGCTGCGATGATAGCTGTCTCTGTGTGCGTAGGCAGCAGCAGAGCTCTCCAGAGTCACCTACAAACGCCGAGGGCTGGCTGCGCAGAAGACAGCGAACCGGGGGCTCGTCGAGGCGGCTCGGGAAAGGCTCCCTTCCCTTACCACTCGCATGCTGGGGCCGCACAGTGACGATGCGCTAAGCACCGAGCCGCCTTCCTAACCGATCGCCCCCCGCAGACAGAGGTTCCCAAGGGGGAGGCTTAACCTGCAACAGGCCGGGCCGTTCGTTGTTGACTGAGCCCAGAGACGCTGCAGTGAAAGCCCAGCCACCTGCGCTGCCCTAATGCACCCGCGGACACTCACTGCCCCCTCCCTAGCCCGCGTGACGCACGGCTGGGCGCCCCGAACCTTCCGCGGCCCCGCGAGGAAGGCGCGAGACGCTTCCTCCACCTCAGGCATCCAGGGCTACTTCTCGTGGGGAACGGCCCCGCCCCGGGGGAGCTCACGTGGGGTGCCGCGGAGCCAATGGGGAGGCAGCTCTCCGCCGGCCCCGGCTGCGTTTCATCAGCAGCTCCCGCAGGTGAAGGGACCTGTCAAAGCAGCCGTGCAGCCTGGCCGGAGCGGGCGCGCCGGATGGTTCCCGAGCTCCCAGCCCCGGCTAGCCATGAACACTGAAGAGCAGTATTATGCCTCGACCCAGCTCTACAAGGATCCGTGTGCGTTTCAGAGAGCCCAAGCCCAGGATTATAACCAGACCCCCCCAGCCTGCCTGTACATGGGCAGACCGCAGCAGGCACCTTACGCTAGCGCTTTAGGGGCGCTGGAACAAGGCAGCCCGCCAGACATTTCGCCCTACGAGGTCCCCCCCATCACAGAGGATCCAGGGGTCTCCCATCTTCATCACCATCACCACCACCCTCATCACCCCCAGCTTCCTCCCCACCAAGAAGCTATGCCTTTTGCAGACGGGGCTGACACGGGGGCTATAGAGGAACCTAGAGTTCAGTTGCCTTTCCCGTGGATGAAATCCACCAAATCTCACGCCTGGAAGGGACAATGGACCGGTAAGATACTCGCCTTCTGCTGCTGCCGCTGTCGCTTCCTCTCCTTCTGTCTTGTACAATGTCCAGGGAGCCTTCTCATCACTAACAAGCCCATTTGGGGGATAACCCCCGCGCCTCCGCCCAGTGTGTGATTATTGTCAGAGAGAGGCAGTTCCCTGCCACTTTTGTTTCACTAGAAGTTAACCAGGCTCGGCCAGTTTTCTCAGGAAAAATGTGTCTTCTCTTCCACTTCCTTGCAAGTCCTGCTCTGGGAAGTGTATTTGTGTGTCTGTGGCGGGGGGCACTAGCAGGAGCACCAGTTTTAAATGGGGAGGCTGCGTTTAAATGTCCTGAGATCTCCGGGCCCGTTTGTATTTCAACCCGGCCTCTGCAGTATGCTCGGGTCACACCCGTGTAATAGAAATACGTGCCCTGGATCCGGAAATATGGACCCTCGTCCCTTTCACAAGCCGAGAGAAAAGCTCAGGAATAAAAGCTTCGGGTTTATTCGGGTTTCTGCTGGGCGAAAGCAAAGCAGCTGCACTTACACTTAGCCCCTCTGCTGTTCTTTACTGCTTCAGAACACTGAACAAATACTAACTCATTAGTTTAACTAATTAACTGACTAGCACTAAGTATCAGGCTGAAGTTGATACGTATCTAAGCTAAACACACCGTGTGCCGCTGTTTCCACCCACCTGACCAGGTGCTTGCAGCACAGAGATTTATACTGATCTCACTGCCGGGCTGGTAGTAGTAAAAGTCATCCGGTCACTGGGAAATATTCAGTCTGTTGGGAGACTGTCCGGTGGCAGCCCCAAGCTCCCCTGGCAGCCAGCGGGCTGTGCAAAGAAGTCAGGGCGGAGATCCATACCTACCAGAAGGGATACGGAAAAAACAAGGAACTCCCTCTTGCTCCACTTGCAGACAGGCAGGGTGAAATCCAGGCCTTACTGAAATCAATAGGAGCTTTGCCTTTTGACTTCAGGAGGTCCGGGATCTCACCCTGACAGCTGCACTGTTAACGGCAGATCTGAGCCGGAAAATGCAGACTTTGCTGTTTGTATCAGCACTGTACCCGTAGGGCAGAGGGAGCGCCTGGTGGGCAATGGACAACTTCCAGTGGAAATACGCAGGGCTACTAGCAAAGTCCGATCCTACTAAAAGGCCATGTTGTGCCACCGCGTTGGGACTCCCTCGTTGATTTCAATGCGTAAAAAACAGAAGGCCCAGAATGTCCTGCAGGTCTCACAGCCAAGTTTCAATCTGAAAAGTCCTTACAATATACAGAGTCAACTAAAAGACTTTTGAAATGAACATTAAACCCTAAATCGTTTTTTTAAATAACCGGACAAACCCGCCTACCTGGCCATTCCATTTTTTCCTGTATTCCATTAGGTTTTTTGCCTTTCTTTACTGTGGAAACCATTTCAACCTGGGCAGGGGACACAACCTGAAAGAGCTGCCTGCCCAGCAAGAGGAAGAAACTCTATCTGGACAGCAAGTTCCGTTGTAGAACAATATTTCTGTCTCTCGCTGCACAATGTTATCTTGCCCTGTGCCTTGTGCACTCTGTCACACCTCGACTGCAAATATTGCATTAGTGGTTCTGTTCAGACAGTTGGAAAGGTAGTGAAATACTGAAATAATGGTGAAATAGTCACAAGAATCAAAAGGTGTTCTTTGCTCCTTATCCAGACAATCTGAAAAGAACAGAAAATACTGCAATCAATGGGCGTCTTTCCTTCCCCCCACTTTAAAGGAAAATGTAGTCGAAGAGTTTTTGATCCAGGAGATAAAATAATAGTCATTTCAGATGCGTTTAATACATAGAAAGAAACCACACGTGCCCTCTTTTTTCATAATATAGTATCGAGAGAGAGATCTTTAAAATTAAAATAATTATTAGATTCTCCCAGACTGACTTTTTCAATTAAACTTAATACCTTCCTACATAAAAGCTTGGTTCAGAACATGTGAGTGATACTAACTTTAATAGATGTGTGTGTGTGTGTGTGTGTGTCTACATAGCACGTTTTGATCCAAGCTTGTATGTATTTATGTAATTTATATAGAGTTTCTATTTTAACATTTCTCTATAAATGCACCTAGGTGCACCTGTATATGCACACTACGCATGCTCCACGTGTGCATAATTGTATGAATGTGTACTTATATTTATAAATAATTCTTACAGAATGAAGCAACAACTTCCTTAAAACGTATCTGGAATTAAATTAATTTGTTATTCATGGAGTAGCTAGCTATTTGCCTATGAACTGGCCTCAAATTCTTAGCAATGCTGGGATTCGGGGAATATCCGCAGAGTCATCTTTATTAAATGGTGACATACCTGTAATAGTAAATATGGAATCAAATACAGCTGACATACAAATACCCGTGAGCAGCCTGAGCCTTCTCCCATTGCAGGCCAAGGGCATTAGGACTAATCCGCAGCCAGCCGATTAAGGAAATCCCAGCCGATTAAGGAAAGCGCCTCTTTCCAAGAATCGGCCTTTCCTTTGGTAACGTCAAAAGTGGATGTGAAGTTTGTTGGAGTTACAAGCACAATGTGGTTTTTGAACTTCCATAGACTGAGCCGGAAGCCATTCACGGCAACGGAGTTTGAGGCCAGAAGGAGTCTCGAAATTAAACAGAGTTTAGCGGCTAAAAAGGCGTAAACATTTGCACGCGAATTGTTCCTGCCTGTAGGGCGGAAGGACCCTCATTAGCTGAAGCAAGTTTTTAATTAGAATTTACACAGTCCACCGAGAAGCAACAGTGGGGCCGGGCCTTGCCCTCACATTTCTCATGCAAACTGCCTCTAGAATTCGCACGGGGCATTTGCCTGTGTAAAAACGTGATTCTTAAAACGCACCAGGCCCCGCACGCAGAGTTTTGGCGTTGACCACCCAGGCTCCGGAGCGAACACTCACTTCTGCTTCGAGCTTTGCAACGGTGTCCAAAAAACTCTTGTTTTTCTTGACACAGGTGTTGTAATGCCTAGGCAAACGGACAGAGTAAGCACGCGATCTCCCCACTCTTTTTGAAAGTCCTTGCTCCTTTGAGTGTCACTCAATCGGAGAAGGGTTTTTTTTGTTTTGGTTTGTTTTGGTTTTCCTGCACGCAGTTGGTTTTTGGTTTGATAATGATGGGCAAAATAGTATTAGCTTTTAAAATGGCCCTTTAACGATGAGTGGCGTGATAAATCGAATGGCTCGGGTTATTGCAATGCGTAGTAAAGTGCCCCCTCCGGATAATAATAATAATTAATTCATAATAAATAATGTAGACAGTAGCTTTCCACTTTTGATGCCTAAATATTTTGTATGTTGTTAAGGCTATTGATTTAAAACGGCAATTAATTAATTACTTAATTAATTAGATAGTTCTACTTGTCTGAAGCCTGTTTAACCCTAGAACGCCCATATAAGACACTCATCGGCCAGCAACCCCCCAGAAAAAGAGGGAGGTGTCTGAAAACTGGGTATCTGTCCTTTAATTGTCTGGGTGGGCTGTGCGCATTAGCTGTCGCACCAGACACAACAAACGAATAAGTCACAGCTGTTATTACGCTATGAAGGCTACATTCGACTTCTTGCAATAGGGCCCGATCCGGCTGAGCGCTCTACTTCAGTCACTGGCCAGGACTGTCTAAGCTACTGCTAAGCCACAAGTGTTCTTGTCTCTTTATTTGTTTTTGCTTGTTTGTAGGGGTTTTTTTTAAGTGTGACTCTTACCATAGACCAGTGGAAAATAGTCTCTGTGAACACAACAAACTTTTTCCCCCTCGGTTCCAGAATCTGCGGGAATTGTATTTGCCTTTGTAAAATATTTGGGATGATGGTTGGTTTAGGGCTAATCCGTAGCAAATTCCCGAGCGATTAAGGAAAATCTCTCTTTCCAGGAACCCGCCTTTCCTTGTGTAAAGGCAAAAGTGATGTTGAGGTTTTGAGTGACAGCGACAATAATGTTTTGCAGCCCTGTGATATGAAAATAGCCGGTAGCCACTGACTGCCTGTGGTGGAGATCGGGGTGCTCCAGGGCAGAAGGAGGAGCCTCTAGATTAGACGGAGGCTATCGGGTAAAAAAAGCTTTACACCTCTGCACACGAGTTATGTCCCCGGGTTCCTGGGGGCAAGGCCGATGGCCCTTCATTTTTGTGCGGTAGCCGTGAGACGGCAGGGCAGTAGTTCGGGAGTTTGCATTTACACACAAACTGGTGGCTTTTGTAATTCGAAGGCAGCTCGGGTTTTTACGAAGAGTGTAGTTTATTAACAGCCCTATGCCAGTACCCATCAGCCACTGGCACAAATTTCCTGGAGGCACCGGCTGTAATATTTTTCCCCAAGGAGCCATAGAATGTCGCCAGTTACGCGTCTTTGTTCTCCTTGGCCTTGCACTCACAGCACCTATGGACCAGTGTGGCTTTTCCTAGAGTCCATTCAACACAATGCGCACTTTGTTAATCCAACATGGATTTACAGGTAACACGCGGGGCAGCGTCGGGCTGTGTCTTCGCCCGGTGCTGGTGTTTCTAAAGAAACAGTCTTAAACACTCACCTCGGCCCTGGAACGCCTCTCTCTTGTTAGTTTCAGTCTTCAAAGGGCAGAATCTATCCCCCTCTGAATTTCTTGGACCGGATTTATAACCCTTTTGGGATCCAAGCAGGGGCGCTGCAATATGGTGGGGGTGCTGAGAGCCATCGAACCAAACTGTAAACCCTGTTTTCACCCCTTCAAGCCGAGGAGTGCTGTAGCACTTCCCCCTGCCTCCAGTCCCAGCACCTGTTAATAGATTTGCGCTGGGCTTGGAGCTCTCTCTGTTCTGTTAAAACCCTACGCCAGTGGCTTCCATGTTGTCTCGAATGTCCCCGCTGCATAACCCCGCGGTGCGAACAAGGACAAGGCACCTACGTCCCTGCCCTTACGGACAAGACCATTCTACCAGAGTCGCTGCAGGTTAGGTGGGGCCCAGAGGTCGGGGAACCTGCTAGCCCACAGAAATATCAGTCTGGCCGCACACAAGTGAGAAGCAAAAGAAAACCAAAACAAATCCTCACTGACTGGCCCCCAGCTGAGAAGCAGAAAGAGCCTCCCCACTTCCCCTCGCTCACCAAAGCCTAGTGAGGCCCAAGCTAGTAGATTTGGTGTGCTGAGAGGAGGGGGGAAACTTGGGGCGGAGGGGCTGAGCCTTGGGGGCCAGATCCAGGCAAGCCGGTGGCCTTCTGGTCCGGGCCTAGGGTTCCCCACCCCTGCGTGGATCGAGCGTCCCCCTCCGACCCGGGTAGATTTTCAACTCTCGCTTGTTCTTAGGTGGCTCCTATGCGGTAGAGCAGGAAGAGAACAAGAGGACGCGGACCGCCTACACCAGAGCCCAGCTGTTGGAGCTGGAGAAGGAGTTCCTCTTCAACAAGTACATCTCCCGGCCCCGGCGCGTGGAGCTGGCCGTCATGCTGAACTTGACCGAGAGACACATAAAGATCTGGTTCCAGAACCGGAGGATGAAGTGGAAGAAGGAGGAGGATAAAAAGAGGAGCGCGGGGGGCGGCGGCGGAGGCAACAGCAACGACCCAGAGCAAGACTGTGTGGTGTCCTCGGGGGAGCGGCCGGGGAACGAGGAGCTGCAGCCCTGCCACGCGGCCTCCCGAGAGTTGCTCCCCTCCAGCCTCGCTGCCTCCCCGCAACCTCCTGGCGCCGCCCCGCGCAGGCAGCAGGACGCGCGGTGAAGGACCGTAGCCCCCCCTTGGCAGGCGCCGCGCGGAGGGGTAAGAGTGAAAGGAGCGACGCGGGGGCCGGGATGCGCAGCCTCTTGTGTCCCGTGGCTCCTCGCCAGGCGCCCCAGGGACCCCCGGGCTGTTGTCCGCGTGGCAACATTAAAGGCGTTTGGCTGCAGCAGCGCTGGGCTCGGTGTGGTTTGTGGGGCGGGCGGGGATCGCTGCGGTGTCCTCGCGTCAGCCGGCACCTGCCTTGCCACAGAAGCTGCCCTGTTCTGCAAGGGGGGACTGCTGGGGTTCAGGGCACAGCAGCTGCTCTTGCTCCAGGCCTGCTGGCTCGCAGGGGGCAGCCCTCCCCGCGAGCTCAGCGGCACCAGGTGCTACAGCACCGCACGGAGCGCCCCAGCAAAGGGGCATCTTCGGGTGCGCGCCGCGGGCTCCGCTCAGGGTTGGTTCGAGTCATCGGGGCCCGGTTCTCCAAAGGGGCCGAGAGCCCCGAGCTCCCGCTGACTTCATCTGGGCTTGTCCCTTCGGAAATCCGGCCCTGCTAGCTGCAGTGAACGGGGGCTTTCAAGCAAGACGCATGAAGCGTTGGTCCCTTTCCTGCCTCCCTTCTAAACCGGGCGTTTGCTCTCCCTCTGAGAAAAATTGCCCCAAACTTGCTGCGGTGGGGGAGGACTTGTTGTTTTCTGAAGACCCGGGGTCAATGACTCGAAGCGTCAGTTAGTGGCTGGCTGGAGTTTTTCTGGAGCAAGTTCACCCGGGGATGTGGGGTTGGGGGGGAGGTCTCCGTGACTCCAGGATCCATGGCACACCTCTCCTTCAGGAGTGTGCGTCTCCTGGACAAGCCTATGTTTGGAGCAACAGACGCTGCGTGTGTCTGCAGAAGAAGAGGACCCCAGGCATGGGGCTTTGGCGACTGCCCTGGGCCTATGTGTGTCAGTGATGCGTGATTTGCAGCAACCTTGCGGTGCCGCACCGCACACCGTGGCACGCTCCGAGATGCGGGAGCGCGCATCTGGGTGGAAAGCATCCCGGAAGGCATTGCGAACATGGAGGGCATTGGGAATCGTATCCTCCCCTCCCCCCGGGATTTACACCCGCTGGGACCCGATCCTGCTTTCTAGGCGTTCCCGTCCAAGCCACTCCACACTTGGGGCGCCTCCGGAGCGCAGGGTCTAGTCTGGCCCGGGGAGATGCTGAGGATTAATTATAAACGAAATAAACCAGAACATAAGCGACTCCTCTCCCTGGAGCGCCCACACTGACCACCAGCCAGGGGAGCAGAACGAGGGGCCAGTGAGACGCTGAACAAGCAGGCGCGATTTTAATTCACGATCCCCAGCAATTGCTTTGAAATAACTCTCCCCTCTCCTGGGAGCCACGTTGTGCCTTGGGGTTTGGAATGAACCCTATTGGCGTGATCTGTGCTTTGGTGGGGGCTCGGGTTTGTTTGGAGTTCTTGTTTCCGGCTTTCGGAGCGCATTAAAAGCACTCTGGGGCTGTGTACACACGGCCAGCTCCCAAGGCGGGTGAGTGGCAAACAGGCAGCGACAACATCCGTCTGTTCAGTGTTTCCCAACCAAATCCCCCGAGTCCCTGGAGAAAGTTCTCGCTGTGCCTAGAATATGTATGTTCCCTTCGCTGGCGATGGAAAAGAGAGAGTGAGACAGAGACAGAGAAAGAGAGAGAGAGAGTTTTCTTAAGCAACAATCTGTCCGAGAGGAATAAAAGAGTAACCCAAAAACTTTCCAGAAAACTGTTCCCCTTCCAGGATTCTGATTTGCCTTGCCTACCCCCAAGTTTCACCGCACTTCAAAACAAAATCATACCCAGAGGTCTGGCAGCCCACGATTCCTGAACAATTACTTGCTTGCGTCTCATGTTTACCCTATAATTATAAAATAAATCCATTGGAATATAAACATTGCACGTACCTTACAGTGTCTGGCAAACAGAGCAGTATAAGCGAGGCATTGTATGCCGTTTTAGTTTGTACGGCCTTCTCTAGCGCTTGATGTGGTCTGCTGTAGAAGTAGGCAAATAGGTAGACGCGTTCCCTAGAAGGCCTCTGTGTATCCCCCAGGGTCTGTCTACCCCTAGCTGAGCCACAGGCTTAGCGCACCGGTCTAGCTGAATCAGCAAGGAGACCAGATGCGAAGTGGGACCCACCTGCTGGCAGGGAGCTATTGCAACCAGGATCAGCAAGGGGGAAGTGGCAGAATGCAGCACAGTGCCGGCTGTCTGGTTTGGTCCATGCTCAGAGACTAGAGATCGCTGGGTTTCGGCTGCCCTGGTGAGCAACGTCCGCGCCACAAGAAGCCAGTCGCTGCGCGCTTTCGCATTTCACCCCGAGGCACAGGTGGCGATCTAGGTGTGTATTGTCGGCCTGTGCGGACCACGAGTAAATTCCGTCCGAGCTTTTGCGCTTGCCAAATGGCTCCGCCGGGGAGATTTTGTATATCCCGGCCGCCCCCGGCGCAAAGGCGAGTTGGCTGAGCTGGGTTGGTTGGCGCCTTCCAACCGCGGTGGGGTTTGGCGTGTGGGAGCGCATCGGGCGCTGCTTGACCAGAGAGAGCAGCTGAGCTCAGGAGCCCTGCGTAACCTGGGTCCACCTGCCATTTCCAGGGACTCACTGTTTGCCGGTTGCGGGACACCCCTCCGTAGCCCCGTCACCGCGGGGCAGGCGCTGCAGGGGCAAGAGACAAGTGAATGAACAAGCGGCATGTGGGCGCGGGTCGTGCTGACACTCGCTTGGCAGCGCATTCATAGGCGCGTCGCGGGCTCGGGTCCCAGCTAGACTTTATGAATGAATGATCTGCCATTGGCGGTGCGCGCAGTGCAGACAAATGGAGACGTTTGCGTACAGGCGGCAGGCGATCAAACCCCAGCTCCGCGGGGTTAGCTAGACACCGGGCAGCACGGCGGTCACTTCTTCCCGGGCGCGGATAGCTGAAGCCGATGCACATTTTGCCTTTCAGGCCTTTGACCAAAGAAAGAAGCTAGCGAGGAAGCCAGTAAAATACCTGCAGACAGGAGCATCACGTAGCCATGCCCGGTGAATGCAATATGTTCCAGTGCCAGCCGGAATGTCTTTGATTATTATGTATGATTATGTATCTGATCTTAACACCCAGGCGCCTGAGGCACGAACCAGATCTCCGTTCCTACTCTGTCGGGGCAGCTCCGTATGGAAAGTCCCACAGCTTCGAGTCTTGGTGTTAACTTTCAGCTCTGGAAAGCCCTACAGCTTCAGGCCACGGTGTGAAACGGCTCGTTCGGGGACCAGACAGGGCTCAGTATCTGAGGATCTGTTGGGACTCCAAGGAAGCAGAGCTTCCCTTGGCAGTAATACCCATGCCCCTCTTCTCTGCAAGGTGTTGGGGGTCCCGGGAGTGTGCTTTGGGGATTGTGTTGGTCGGTGTAGCTTGGCTGATGGGTTTCTCACCAGCAATGAGAAGAGGCTTGAATAAAAGTAACGGCGCCAGGCACAAGGTGGGGAAATAAATGAAACGGAGCAAACACAAAGCAACACTCGGGAGAACCCTTCCGGGTGCGGAGTGTAAACGCCAATAAATCGGATTCGATTCGCTCCAGCCTCTGGACGCTTCTCAGCGAATTAGGCTGGATTGCTTGAGTCAGCCGCGTGGGACCGGGTCCTGTATCAGTGAGCTCCAATGGTGGTTTGGTTTAGACGAGGGTCAGTTGCAGCTTCTGGCTGCGGTCCTAGCCGGAGACAACACTCCCGGTACCGGGTCCCTGCGGCTGACCAGCAAGGGGCATCCGGGAGCCGCCTACCCACCCAGCCACGTGCGCTCACACGCGGACCTACACCAGCCAGTCTGGCCCTGCGCGCTTGCAGCCCCGCAGGGACGATTTGATTCCAGCTGCAGCGCCGGGCTGGAGCCTCAGGCTGGCTCCCTGGCTTGCATTTCTCCCGCCCGGCGTCCTGGCACTGCGCGCTGGCAGGTGACATTGGCGGCAGCGACTGGGCTGGCAGGGGATGGGGAGCGGGGGCAGCCCGGTGCGGAGTGGGGATCGCCCACGCGGGGCTGCCCAGCCAGAGAGAGAGCCCAGGACTGCGGCGCTAACACAGCGCGCGGGGCCGGCGAAGCGGACTCGGCGCGCAGGGCGCTGGGGTTGGGCGCAGGCTGATCAGCGCGGTGCGCTGGTTCGCTCGTGTCTGTTGATTTCTTAGCAAAGTGCTGGGGCCAGGGGGCGAGTGCCGGATGCCTCGGCCGAAACGCGAGGAGAGAAATCAAGGCAGGGCCTGCGCCCAGTCCCTAGCAAACAGAAGGAGCGGCCGAGACCACTACCCAGCTCAGCACCGCCAGCAGGCAGCGCCGGACCTCAGTAGGGACCCGCCGTGCAGGGTCAATCTCCACACCCGGGGATCGGCGCCTTCCCGGCCCCTTTCCTCTGCAAAAGCCAGGGGGAACGGGTGAGCCCAGCAGACTCTCAGGATCCTCAGCATTATAATCTAGCAGCCCCACATGACCATCCCAAAGAAATGGAGAAGGAAGTCACACAGTGGCAGAGCCGAGCGGCTCATTCAGGACTCTGCCCCTCCACAGAGCACCCCCTGACATACATTACTGGATACTATGTTGTACATTCCCGCGAGGTGCTTCCCCCAACGCACAGAACCTGCTTCTGGACTGAAGCACCATGCTGGTCTGTTTTCTTTGCTTATATTAACGTTTGCATGCCGGCCTTAAGAAATGTGGATGTTTATGGAAAGTTTTGACGCAGGCTATGAAAGGAAGTTGGGGCCGAAAACAACAAATCCCTAGTTCAGTGATCAGTGAAACTATAATCAGTGGGCAAGAACTTGCCATTGACTTCAAGTAAAACTCACCCAAACACATTAGACTGATGTTCTGCTTACAAATCACTATACGGGTTTGGTTGTGCCGAGAAAATCGATCGTGCCTGGAATGGGATTGCTTCTCGTAAAACCAAACAGAAACGAGACAGAATCACCCGATCCAGTACAGCCCTCAAAAGTGACATAACTGAGTGAATGTTGAAAGAAATTGAACCAAGAAGAGCCAGAAAACATAGGATGAACCTGGAATAGGATTGTTTCTCCATAAACCTTATAGAAACGAGATAAAATGGAGACATTTGG